TAAGCATGATATGCTGAAAATATGTACTAATAAAAATTTTAAAATAGAAAGACAAGCCCTTCTTGACCCCTAGCCCTTTCTTCCCTTCTTCTCTCCCTACTGCCGCCGTCGCTTCAGGCGCCGCCACTCCCGGAGGAGCTCCTGGCACGGGAATGGGGTCTCGGGCCTCCACGTTACTGAGGGACGAAGAAGCTCGAAGAGCTTGAGGAGATCAAGAAAGAGATCGGGTTTTCCCACAGTCAGATCACTCGCCTCTACAGCCGATTCACCAGCTTGTACAAAGGAGAAAACGGGACCCTCAGCCGGGAAGATTTCCAGAGGATCAACCATCAACTTGCCATCAACCCCCTGGGGCACCGGATCATCAATGCCTTCTTTCCAGAGGGAGATGACCAGGTAAATTTCCGTGGATTCATGAGAACTTTGGCTCATTTCCGACCCATTGAGGATAATGAAAAGAGCAAAGATGTGAATGGACCAGAACCACTCAACAGCAGAAGCAACAAACTACACTTTGCTTTTCGGCTGTACGATCTGGATAAAGATAACAAGATCTCCTGTGACAAGCTGTTACAGGTGCTATGCATGATGGCTGGCGTGAACATCTCAGATGAACAGCTGGGCAGCATTGCAGACAGGACCATTCAGGAGGCTGACCAGGATGGGGACAGTGCCATATCTTTCACAGAATTTGTCAAGGTTTTGGAGAAGGTGGATGTAGAACAGAAAATGAGCATCCGGTTTCTTCACTAAAGGACACAGACCAAACTATTCCTTGCTGTCTAGTATTTAAGAACTGGAACTTCGAGAGTCCTCCTGACCACCCATCCCACCTCTATCCCATCTCTTCCCTTCTCCCGAAGTACCACTGCTGTTGCATGATGACCCCACATGTTTGCCCATCCAGACCCACCCTGTGTATAAACCTGCCTTACAGAAGGGTTCACCTGGCCTCTTTCTGTTCTGTAGCTGTCCACCACCTCTTTATTTCTCAGCACCATCTTTCCTTCTTGTGCTGAGAAACACCACCCATCCATCCAGTCCGAGAAGGGGAGAGGGAATCATGCCTGGATTGGGCCAGCAGACCTCTCGCTGTGTGGACATGTAGCTGTGCTGCCTTCGCTGCAGCAAGGTTCCATTGTCCTCGTGTGCATCCTTGCCTTTCCATTTCCTTGTCATCCAGCCTGCCATCCTGCTGACCCTCACAGTGCACCCTGTTCTACTTGGCGCCCGAAGCTATGCCTGTTAAATCTGTTTCTGACTTGGCAGGATAGTTCTGTGGTCTGGCAGTTTTATCTACCTTCCCTCTTAAATGGGTCTCCAGGATGCTGCCTTTCTAGGAACATTTCAGGAGCCAACACTTCTCTTGGAAGAATGTGACCCTCTCGTCTCTTGCACTGTTTGTCATCAAAGGGCTTCTAGGTGGAAATGACCTTGAAAGGTCACCTTGGTGGCTTGCCCAGGTCACTATACCTCTGGCTTCTGATTCTCAGCGTATGCACCTACATGGCTTCTCTGATGAGTGCTGTGCAGGTCTGCTTGGCTTTGGGTCACCGTCACCACCAGAGTGGCTGCAGAGTTGTTGGGACCGTCTCGTGGCTCTTTGAGCAAAGAAACCAGGAGCCCCTTAGCACCTCCTGCACTCACACTGCAGCATGGCGTATGCCTCAGTGTGATGACAGGAAGATCTCTCCCTTTACATTTCCAAGTAGAGCAGCTAGTGTCACGGAAGTGCCTAACTTATCCCAGTCCAAGAGAATTAAAGATTAGCCTCAATGTCCTGAAGTTCTACACAAAATTCTTGTTTTGGGGTGTTTTTTTTTGCGGGGGGGGGGTTGGTACTGGTGATCGAACTCAGGACCTTGCGCATGTGAGGCAGGCAAGGCACTAGAGTTAAATCCCCAGCCCACAAAATTCTTTATGAATTTTACACTTGGCAGTTGTTAATGCGGAAGCCATAGTCAGCTCCTACTACAGCCCAAAGCATTGAATGTATTGTCTTTGCTGGCTGGTTACATGACCCTCCTAGCTCCTGTCTGGACCACTGCTCATCCGTTGGGGACAAGGGGTCTGGCACTAGTGGCACTGAGGTCATTAAGTGAGCCAGAGCAATTTCTCTGCCAAAGCCAGCTTAGACCCCATTGAATCGGGCCATTGCCGTCTTCCGTTTTGTGAGTCCCTTGGTCCATACATCTGCCCTTGGCTGACTCTGTAACTGGCTGCTTGCTTGCTTGTTCCCTTGCTGTCCGAGATGTGTGAACAGTTCTTTAGGAGAGGAACTGCTAAAAAATACCAGTGCAAAGGGATGAACAAAGGTGGGGAACAGGAGTGGCCAGGCTGGGTGGCGTAAGTATAAATGCACGAGAAATTCTTTGTGAGGTATTGTTGTGTCCAGATCGCGAAGTCCCAAAGACCCCCAGGAAGCCGTTTTCGATGTAAGCACACGAGGGTCGTTTATTTAAGCTCGAGCAGGGACTCTCAACTGTCACCGATGCAGCGGGTCAAGATTGAGAGTCTTGACTCTAAAACAT